GACCTTTCCTGTTGCAATGGAGCCCAGTTGGTTTTGTCAGTGCGTTTCCCCTTTTGGAAAGAGGGGCAAGGGCGTGGGAGAAGAGTCTCAGCATCTCTGCAGCGTGCACTCCGTGTGCCACTCGGACGCCTGCTCTTCACAGAGGCATGGGTGAGGGGCGGGGAGGGGCACAGCATTACCAAGAATGTGACTTGCTTCTAGCGCTTCCTCTGCCAGAGCCAGTGCCAGGCTGGGTAGTTAAGGCAAGGAATGGCAGAAGGATTCAGTCTTGCCCGTTCTTTTCCCATAACCCTCAAGGTGTCAGCGTGTTCAGGGATGCAGAATTACACCGTGTAGGAGATTTAAAACGCTGAAAAATCCCCCATTTGAAAAATACAACCATGGGGGTTGGGGACCGAAAGAGCTTAGAGGGACTGGCTGGAGGGGAAGGCCAGGCGGAAGCTTGAGACAAGAGATGTGTCAGAGATGCTTGTCTACATGGGCAGGGGCCGTGAGGGCAGAAGACTGGACTTGAGGACCTCTCGGGGTCCCTTCCAGCTCTAATATTTCTGATCCTATGGGGCAGGGGCATTCCCGGAACAATTGTACTGCTAGTCGGCTGTTGTTCTGCCAAGAGGATGCTCTTATTCCAAGGGAAGAGTGCCTTTTCCAGTTTACCTTGCATCACTGAAAGCGGTGTACGTGAATCTGGAAAAAGACATTCTCTTCTGCAGAAAACGTGTGTCCATGTGGGACGTTAGACCAGCAGAACTGGACTGCTCTAGGATTGCCAGCCCCCCGCGGGGTTTGTGCCCTGGCGGCTCAGCTGGGACGTGTGCAGTTACAATTTAAAGATGTTTCCTGCTGTTCCAGCTCCGTGCGGCGTTTTCAAATCTTAATCATGCCGTGCCTTGTTTTCACACTTCGCTCTTCGCTGGGAGCGGCGGCCTGCCAGCTTTCAAGGTGCAGCGCGCTGGTTACGTTTTTATTAAGTATTCTGAGCTTGTTTTTAAAAAGCGCCGCCTGGTCAAGAGGTGAGCGTGTTCTAGTGGTGGTAGCATGGGCTAGCCTGACCACCCCCACTTGCCATGGAACGTCAGGCGAGGCCCCGGAGCTCTGTGCCTTAGTGACTCCGTTTCTCATCGCCCACCTGCATAAAGCTCTCTCTGTCTAGTGCTTTCGGTCCATATCAATTCCCACTCTTGTTCAGGAGCTGCCTTTGTCATGCTCTCAGAACTCGCAGAATAGCCGGTGGGATTTTCCTCCAGCTTTCCAGAGTCCCCCGTAAGCTGAGCCTGAGCAGGGAAAACTGCACCCCCAAGAGCAAAAGGAAGTTAGGAGCATGTGACAGGGCGGTTAGCCGAGAACCGTTTACTGATAGGAACCTGTGGTATTCCAGGGTGGTGACTCCTGGAATAAGTTGCCTGGGGAGGTTGTGGAATCTCCATCGCTGGAGATATTTAACAGCAGGCTAGGGACATTTATCAGGGACGATCTAGACGGTGCTCGGTCCTGCTGTGAGGGCGGGGGACTGGACTTGATCTCTCGAGGTCCCTTCCAGTTCTCGTGTGCTATGACTCTATTTTCTGGGCAGGTTGGTGATGTGGCTTTGAGTCCCCTCTCCGCTGCACAGACCGGTTAAGGGCTGGTGCAAATGTTAAAGGGAATCTATAGCCTGTGATTTTCGGTGGCTGTCGGAAATGTCACCCTTTAGCCTCTGGCCGGGGAATGAATTTGCCTTCACCCCTCTGCTCCAATCCCCCCTTCCCCTCTGCTTTGCTACCTGGACAGATTTCAGCCCCTAGCATCTGACGGCTCTGCCACCTCCCTTCCCAAATGCCAGGCCTGCTAAGTCCCGTCTGACCCTCTCGCCTTTGTTTCTCCCACAGCCCGGGTGGGGAAGACGTCGCTGATTATGGCTCTGGTGGGCGAGGAGTTCCCTGAAGAGGTGAGCGGGAAGCAGTTTGCCTTTCCTGGGTGCTTTGGATGCATCTTGGTCTTCCCAGGAGGGCGAATGTCTGTCTGTCTCGGCAGAGGCCAGCAGAACCTCTAGATGTGGGACCAGCTTTAACAGGGCATCTCTCCTATCAAGGGCAGAATGAGCCCGGAGCAGCAAAATCTTTCCTGCCTTGTTGAGGGCGTGACTGAGTCTCAGAGGCAGGCGTCTCTACTTTGTTTTCTTACCAGGCTCCTTTGTGCTCCTGCCTGCTATGGAGAGCTGCCTGCCCTTGTGGTCCAGGATGACCGGCCCTTTCTCAATAGCCTGCTGCTTTGGGGCCTTTGGACGGAGCAGCCTGCCTGAACAGCTGTCTGCTCTGTTCCGTGCCTCGCTGCTTCCCAGGTCGCACAAAGCAGTGTCCCTGGCCCAGCCTCCACCTCCTAGCTGGAATGTGCCCGCTCTAGCCCAGCAGTTCACGGCTGTCTCTGGTTACACTGTGTTCTCAGGCCGTGAGCCCTGAGCTGTAGCCATCTGAGTGAAATGCAGAGTAGTCGTCCTGCCTTCATGTGCTGTCGAGATCCTCCCGGCTCCGGGCCTGGGCTGCTTTAGAAAGGGAAGACCGAATTAGCCCAATGGCGTGACTTTCCCCAGCGCCCTGGGCCAGCGTCCCTCCCTGCCGGGGAGCAGATGGTGCAGACCCAGAGCCCCTGGCTGGCCCTTGGTGACACTAGCAGGGTGCAGCAGGCTAGCGCTAAATGCCTGCCCCGTTTCCCCAGCAAAGCCCAGCTAATCGGCTTAATGCCCCTCCCAGGCTGCTGGAAGGTCCGTGCTTCAGGTCAGCGTTTGTGGAGGGTTTAGGGGCTTATCTGCAGGCCAGGCCAGGCCGGGGGAGCTTTGTCTTTCTGCATCCCATCTTCTCATGGACTTCCCTGTTCTGGGGTGCCCGGGGCACAGGGAGGTTGCCAGAGCCAGTGGGGTGCTCAGTGCAGGCCGGCAGCGACCTCTGCGCCGCATCTGGATCCACTCGGGCTCGGATGTGCACCCTGGAGCAGCCCCGAGTAAGAGGTCAGGCAGGCTGGGAAGCAAGGCCCACTCTCTGTGTCCATGCCCTCCTGGCTAGCTCCCCCACCTCTCTGTGCTGCCCCGGCGGGAGCTGAGCAAGGCGGACCCTGTCTCTTCCCCCCCTGCCCCAGGCATGGGCTGTGGCCCCAGAGGGGATGGTGCTGGGCCTCGAACGCTCGGGCAGCCCCTGCCCCTACATGCCTTGCGGGTGACTGAGTCCTGTGTGACTCCAGTGCTGCATGTGGTGCAGATCAGCCTGTCTCCCCACCCCCTCGCGCTGACCCTGTCTCTTGTAGGTGCCCCCCCGGGCGGAGGAGATCACCATCCCAGCTGACGTCACCCCTGAGCAAGTCCCCACCCACATCGTGGACTACTCAGGTAGGGCTCCCCCGCCGCCAGCCTGCTCCTTCGTCAGCCCTTCCTCCCCCTCCCGTCCTAGCCGGGCCATGCTGCCCCCCCCAGGGGCTCTCAGAGGCAGGTGAGGCAGCCGGGGCGGTGCGCGGGGCTCTCCCGGGAGCAGGGCTGAAAGCCTGCGAACAGGGGGCCTCCGCGACCTTGTTCCAGGGCGTTCTGAAGCGATCGTCCCGGCCTGCTCCAGAGAGGCCGGGCGGGAGGACTCGGGCTTTGATCCCAGAGCAGCCTTCTGGTGAGCAATCTGTGCTGAGCCCCGAAGAGCCGCCAGGCCCCAGCTGTTAGCAGCGTGAGCCAGGCTGTGGGAGGGAAGGCGGGAGGAGTCCGGTTGAGACTGCTAATAAAACTGGCCGTCGCCTGCCGTCCTTTGAGCTAAGCCTCCTGCCTTCTCCGCCCCTGCCAGCTCCCGGGGAAGGAGCCAG